AATTTTTAATTAATTAATTTTTAGTCATTTTATGTCGCTTACTAACCGACATAAAATCCATATGCCTTCTCATTTTTTATTATTTATTTTCTCGACATTCGATGTCGCTTGTAAACCGACATCGTATCTCCATATTTGATGTCAATTCTAAACTGACATTAAAGATCCGCTTTTCAAAAATCGACACTATAGATGAAAACGTAATTGTCTGGTTGCGGGTTTATGGGTCGTTGAGGGGTTTTGGGTAGAATACAGCACTACAGCCGGTCGTCGTTTGCTCGTGGGACGTCAGATCTGAACGAAGATGCCGTTGGAGAAACAAATATTGAAAGGAAATATACAAATTAGATTAAAATATTTTAAGTTCTTTTTTTTAAAACAAAAGAATCTTTAAGTTAATTTCTTTTTTATTTCTCTATGTTTTGTAATTTACAAATTCCTTTCTATTTTCTTTTTTACAAAATTTGTAATTTGTAAATATTAATTAAATCTTTTTGGATGGAAGGGAAAAAATCTATGAATAATTTTGATATTAAAATATATAGATGGAATGAAAATGTTAAAAAAAATGCAATTGTTTTGTGGTTAATATTTAAATAATATTGTTTCGTTAGCTTGAATTCCAACCAACTAGGTTTATTTCAAAATTCTTTTAAATAATATAATACAATTTAAAATTAATTATAAATATATTAGCTTATTCTAGTAATATCTTAGGTCTGATTTCGATTTTAAATAAAAGTAAACAACTTGATTTCCGATTTCGATTTCAATTTCAATTTCAAATAAACAATGGTAACATCAAAAAATAACAATGACATTGTCATTGATTTCATTGCGATTGATTTTCATTATGATTCATTGTCATTCTTAATTTCAGATAAGTAAACAATAGACTGATTTGAAAACATATATGGGGCAGACAAAATCCATAAACATAAATACCTAAATAAAGGAATTGAGTATTTCGAATGATTTGAAAACATATGTGGGACAGACAAAATCCATAAACATAAATATCTAAATAAAGAAACTGAATGTTTTGAAAATGGGAAACAAGTGTGTGAAACAAGTGTGTGAAACCTTACCTAACAATTTTTAAGATTCATGGGAATTTTATGACAGTTCAAAAAGTACCAAAAATCCTGCATATATAAATATGGCAATCTGAAGTCCTTTCGAGCAAAAAATGGTTAACACATTTCATGACGTTTATTAAACGTCACGGATAACGTATTTACTTTCGACATTTTGTGGCAATTAGAGAAACGCACGAAAAGTAAAAAATTCGGAACACTCCGTCATTTCCCGCCAAAAATGCGCCTCAACATTTCGTGACGTTTAAAAAACGTCACGAAAAACCAACTTTTTTTGGACCATTTCGTGATGGTTAGAGAAACGTCACGAAATGTCAAGAATTCGGAACACTCCGTCATTTCGTGACGGTTAAAAACGTCATGGAAGGTAAAAAATCCGGAAATCTCCATTTTTCCCTCCAAAAATGTGTTTTTTAAGTTTCGTGACATTTTTTAATAATCTTCAACAGTATTTTACTGTTCACGAACGTCACAAAAACCCAAAATTATAGTAGTGTATGCAATTACGTTTGGTCTTAACAATTAGAAGTCAGCCTCATCATCGGGCTCAAAACGCAAAGACCGACCCAAGCCCAGCCCAAGCTCGATCCAAGTCTGGCCAAAGGTCAACGTTTGACCGGCCTGGCCCAGCCCAGCCCATCCATAAATTAGATTGGATATTTGTTTTATAAATTGGGCTAGTCCATATACCGTATTTGGAACGACTCGTTGGACTGGCCCAAATGTCCAATCCAATGTAGTCCTAAATCATTATATACTGTGTATATATATTCATATATTAATTATTAATATATAATTAATTAGAATTTATGATTAAACTTTTTTTTTTATAATTCTCATTCCTCTAAAAAAATTTTATATTTTTAAAAATCATAATAAATTAAGTTGTAAAAATATGATATTAAAATTTATCGATAACTTTTTAAAAAGTCAAAAACATAGTACAAAAAGCATAAAATAAAAACACAAATTCTAAAACTCAAGAACATATTTTAAATAAATAAAAAAAAATTATTATACGGGTTAATTCAAGTCAGATCCAAAGGATTGATCCAATCCCGATCCAACTTTGCCCCATTGATTTAGGCTCATGGATTGGACTATGGCTTAGGTTTTAGCGGTTGGACCGATCCAATCCTGGTCCGAATAATGCTTAAGGCCCATAGGGTTTGGGCTCGGATCGAGCTCGGACTTTTGTTTGTTTGGGTCGGATGAGGTCGAACCGACTCAATTACGAGGGTGAATTAGAAGTGGGGGAGAACATTTGTGAAAAGAGAAATTAGTGAAAAAAAATGTGTACTGTGTTTTTGAAGGATCTTATCAGGTAAAACAAAGTATATCTCTTGGGAAAATGTGAAGGAAATATTTAAAATTTAAACCAAAAGTACTCGATAAAAAGGCTATCAATGGCTAGTTTGAAAAGTACTTATAACTGCTTTTTTTTTCCTCCTTCAAAAGCTCTTCTGAATTTGCAAATTTGCAGCCAAACATAATCATTTTGGTTAGAAAGTGATATTTCTTTTTTCTTCAAAATATCTTCTAAATTTGACACAATTTTTCTTAGATCAATTGGTTTTCGTGATCATTTATCCAGTAATTGAAAATAAACAAAATATAGTTTAAATTTACATTATATAAATTATAACGAATTTTGAAATGAAATATGAAAATAACATTATAGTATAATGTTATGATATTGTACCTATTTCCGTATTGATAGTTAAATTACAATAGTAAATTAATATGAATTTACCAAACACTAACTTACTTTCAAATCTAAAATTAAAATTTTGTTATCAAAAAAAAAAATCTAAAATTAAAATTTTCTAAACACTAATTTACTTCAAATTACAATTGACCTTTTTTCAAACATAGTTGACAAAAATTATTTTAAAAGCTAATAACAATCTCAAACTAAGGCCTAAAATTACTCGTAGAAGGTTTATACATATGAAATGTAGTCCTTTTTTCTTTCGTTTATGTTGAGATCTATAAAGTAAAAAAGAGAGCAGAATTTCTCACATACCCTACTATATTTTTCTACAGTAATTCTGATTTATATTGGCATCTTGGTGAAGAAAATACTTTAATTATAAAAAATTTTCGAATAAAATGCTTAGAAATTGTAGGGAAAGCGGATACTTCTTCACATTTCCATAATGGTATGACATTGTCTTATAGCTTTGCTTTTAATTTAATCCAAAATGCTTCATACGAATGAAGATGTTGTCATCTACTATATACCTAAATTTTACCATTGTTTAGCCGACGTGAGACTTTAGTCGTATCCCAGCAATAATAAGTCACTTTAATATTTGGTTATATATAAAGCACACAAATATTTAATTTTATCCGATGGCCAAAATATCCTTAAAATTTAGGTTTTTGGCTGACTAGCCTTTTTTCATAATGGAAATGATGTTTACCCTCTCCAAAAAGAATTGAAGTTTTTTAATCTCATGCTATTTTTTTGAGATTATGTATTTACCCTTCTTCCAATCACTCCCCTTCCTCAAATTATTTATTTTTCTCTTTCTACTTTCTCTCTCTTCCTGCAACTATTTCTAATTTTCTTTTCACTTTCCTCCCCTGTGAATTCTCTCTCAATCCCAAAATCTTATTCTCTCTTGATTTTTCGTATAATTTTTCTTGAAATCTAATTTTTTTGTGACAAAATCTTTTCTCGAAATCTTCTTCTTTCCTTCTCTCTATTTTGTTGTTTGATTTTCTCTGCTCTCTCGTACTTTTATCTTCCAGTTATTAGTCCAAGTGAGCCACACTTACATTTTCCTTTTTTTTGGCTTTTAAATAAATTAAGTTGCACTAAGTTCCGACATTAACGGTCTTCTAATAAATTACAAGAGAAGGAGAGAACTGAGCAAGTGTCCATAAAGGAACAAACCAAGAGAAAGAGACATACTGCTATGTAACAAATTCAATATCTATTTTATCCAACCAATATAACAAACATTGACCAATCGATACAACAAACTTAATAACACCCCAATAAATAAATAAACATCATAGAAATGTAAAATGAAAAAAAAAACAGTTGGGAGAAATTAGATTCACCCAAAGATGAAAAAGGAAACATAGAAAATATTAAAAAAAATGGATGAAATTAATCTTTTTCTCACTCCATCTAGGTCATTGTCTGGTTCTCGGTCACCATCTTGCTCTCCTTAGATCCTCTCACTCTCCATCTCGCTCACGATCTCGCTCTCGATTAGATCCAGTCTATCAGATCTCCTCTCAGTCACGATGTCGCTCTT